AATTTTAGCTAATTAAAATTCTATCTCAAATTTATTATATAAGTACTTGAAAATGCTTTAAATATTCTTAAGATATATATCAATTTGTATAAAAAAAATTTGACTATTTTTGCTAAAAAAAATTTTAAATATACTAGTTTCTCATTAAATTTTTTTCTTAGCAGATGCATCTTTTCAAATTGTAATCTTGTTTAAATAAAATTTATAATTATGCAAAAAAAAATTCTTTGTATTATATAATTCTTCATCTTTTTTTATAAGATGCTTCAAAGAATAGTATATATAATTTATACTGAATCTGAATTACATATATTTTTTATATCACAAAATCAACAATCTATATATCTATTATGTTTTGTTATATATATTAACTTGCTAATTGCTAATATATCTTTACACTATATTGGAATAAAAACATGTAAAACAAAATATTTTTGTTTTTAATTATCTTAATATATTATATCATCTAAATACTAATATTATAAAATAATTATAAATTAATAATTAAAATTAAAATTATTTAATATTTAATATAAATACCTTTAAGTCTTTTTAGCTTATTAATAATAAGTTGCATAAAGTTATTAAAGTTTTTTGAACATTTAGAACCAGGAATTATTGCTGCAACTAATAAATTTTCTCATATAACATAATCTTTTAATAAAATATTATTATTAATAAACATAATTATTTAATTATTATTATGTTGCTAACAAAATATTTGATACCTATCTAAGCTTTTAGTTAATACTATATCCTACTTATCTTTTATCAAAATTTTATTTAATAAGCTTTTGTATAACTAATTATTATAAATATTTTTAAACTTGTTAGTATTAAGTATATAATTTAAGTGATATCTATAAGTTTTTGATCATTCAGAACTTGTATATTAAAACTTTAATTAAAAAGCTATTGAATAGTAAGTAGTTACTTTGTATGCTATATTTTTTTGAAATTGTTTAGCCAAAAATATAGAATATTGTGTTGTTTTTACAAATTCTTTAGTAAAACTTACATATAAGTTTATATATATATTAACAAATAATATATATATATATATATATATTTTTTTTTTGTTAAAAGTTATACTTTGTGGCAATACTTTATTGACTTTATTAGGTTGACTATTACAACTATTTTTACAGAAATAAGAGTACAACTAGCTATACATGCAACTTTTGGTTACCTATTTAAGTAGTCTGTCCTAAGGTTCTATACTAGATGCTATACCTATAATCTATTAGAAGATTATTTATTTAAACTCTTTAATCATCTGCTCTGTCATGATGTAACTCCAACTAACTCTCATATATAGCTAACTGATATACTATTTGAGCAGTATAGTATCTACTCTTTTTGTACTTATTCTTAGGCTATTACATATTTCAAAGTACATTACCTATTAGTAGATACAAGAGGCCTCCTATTGTTAACTATTTATTCACTTTTAGAACACTAACAAAAGCTACTCTTACAGAGTTTACCTAGACCCTGGCATTGACTTTACATCATATTTCTAGTACTTTTAGTATACTCTTGCTTTAACTTCAGATTTCTAATCCAGATAGCCCAGAAAGACTATAATCTGTTCTTGGTATATTGAGACTAGTCTAATATCCTTTTTTACTGGTCTGAAATCCAGTAGCCTGGTTGGTGGTACCCCTTACTCAAGGTTCTTGCCTGCCTGATTCCTTCATATTGGTATTTATTTTTTAGATTTAGCCTTTACAGTAGTATTATCAAAGATCTGTGTTATCTCTCTGCTTAGAAATTTCAAGTAAGCTTCAGCTTTCCAGTTTTACAGATTTACATAGACCAAGAACTTATTTTAAATTTGTACCACCTAGTACTAGTTTGCATTTCTCTGTGTAACAGAGTACACAGATGTTCTAGACCTGCCAGTCATACTAATATAATCATAGTTACAGGTATTCTATTTCAACTGATTGACAGAATGCCATCACTGTAATACTGTTTATATATTATATAGATGATTATCCAAATTTTGCTGTCAGTAGGTTTTGAACTCACAATCTACTACTTGGAGGTATGACAACTTATTTACTTTACTAAGTTATTACATCTATAAAATGTTTTTATTTTATTTACATTCTAATATAATTCAATAATATAATTAACTTCAAGAATTTTTAAAATAAAAGCAGCTAATTTTTTATTATAAAATAAATAAATAATAAGCAAAAACTGGAACAAATATTATGCCAGTTTACATTAAAAGAAACATTACCAATACTATAGACAAAAATTTTGTATTTTAAAAAAAACTTGATACAGATAGAAATTAATCTTAGTATATAACTAATTTATAATATTTTGATTATTTTTTCAATAATTATAGATTCTAAATACCATGTTGCAGTACTAAAAAATTTTTAATATAAAGAAAAAATAGTTTTTGTTAAAGAAGTTTCAATTACATCTTTACTATCAGATATATAATACTAATCAAATTTTAACAAATGTTTGCTATTACCAACTAGTATATAAATAATAAACTTAGGACTATTAAGATATATATATATTGTTTGATCAACACAAATAGAAAAAAACATTTTTTATTATTATTTAAGTAAGTTTTAAAATTCTACTAAAATCAAGAATAAGGCCTATAATAAAGATGCTTTAATAAAAAACTTGATGAAATTAAAGTAATATTAGTATTTAAATATTTATTTATTGTAATCAAAAATAAAAAAAATTAATTTTTAATGCTAATATATCTATATATATACATATCTAAATGCTGATCTTATCTGTATTTGCAATAATGATAATTTTATATTATTACTAAATAACAATTATTTACTTTACTATATAACTAAATACAAAATCTTGTTACTCTTATTTAACTAATTTTAAACTATTTTTAAATACAGTTTATATCTAAATACAACATGGCAAATAATTTTTTTTAAGTTATTTAGTTACAAAAAACTAAAATTTATTATATAAGTAAGGTTTAGATATTTTGATGCATTTAAGATTTATTGTTATAAAAATTTAAACTACAATTTAATATTACTATTTGCAAAAAAAATTTTTTTTGAAAATGATTATATTAATTTTATTTTTATTGCTTATATCTTGCAGTCTATAATTTAATAAAGTAACATTTAATTTATTTGCTAAAAAAAATTTATGTACTACAATTTCCTGTATCAGAATATGTAACCTTCTTTTATATAATAATAGCAATTATGTAATATTAATATTAATATATTTTCAATTTTTAATTTAAAAAATTATATATATTAGTATAATAATAATAATATATAGTAAGTGATAAATTTAATATAAGCTTATTTATTAGTGTTTATAATCAAATTTTAGTATATTATAAATACTATAGTATAATTATCCTAAAATTTATTATTATTTAAATATAGTAATAGTGTCAATTTTATCTGAATTAGCAATTAATAACTATTAAGAAGACAAAAATCTTATTTTTATTTATTTATTTTTTTTTATTTTAAATTTTTTATTATTTATCTATATATTTTTGTGTTTTTTTTTATATAAATTTTTTTTTATTTAACTTTTTTATAAAATATTATTAAATTGATAATATTCTATAATAAAGTAATAATTAGATACATCTTTAAATTGCCTTTTTTTAAATTAGATATCTAATATAAACAAACCATTAATAAAACTTATAAAAATAATTACAAAATATTTATTCACTAAATTTAAATCTAAAAATGCTTTGTATAAAACATAAAATTTTAATAAAAATTTTTGACAAGACTACCAAAATGAAAAAATTTGTAATCTTTAATATAAACTAAAAAATTATATTAAAAACTATAGGCTTAAAATTAATATTTAAAAAGTTTATTATATATAAGCTAAAAAAAAATTTTATTAAAAATTTTTTTCATAATTATATATTTTTAATTTATAAGTAATTTAATTTTTTTATAATATATTACAAAAAAAATTCTTATTTTCAAATATTAAAAAAATAAATCAGAATAAAAAAATGCAAAAACGCAAACAAATTTGTTTACAATTTAAGAAAAAAAATTCATGTCATGTAAAAAATACACATGTAAATTCTCAGGTATGTATAGTTGTGTAAGTATTACCAACAAATAAAAGAAGTAAATATTACATGATGTGTATAAAAAAATTGCACAATGCAAAAAAAAAAAATAATAATAGTACAATGAAAAAAAATACACAGTATATTACTGTACCAGAAAACCAGAAAACGAAGAAAAAAAAGAAGCAATAAAAAAATCTTGCGGTAATTGTTTTTAAAAAAACATCTCAAAAAAAGTCAACACCCAGAAACTTACTCGTTTCCTCTCAGCAACTTAGTTTGTCTCCACTCAACAACTCGTCTCACAGTCCCTCAGCACCTCAGTTATTTTCAAAAAAATTATTGAACGATCAAATTTTACTTTTGCTGTCAAAGAGAAAGAAATAAGAGCCAATACATATATTAATAATTGATCATATGACTGCACACAGCTTTAAACGATCACTTATCGTGAAACCCAAGTCATTCAAAATTGCCAAAAGCTTCATGTACCACTGTAATGGTAAATCGGTTAAGAAACAAAGTGAAAGGTTTTATTTTCTTTTCTAAAAGAAAATTATCACCTGAGACCGATTTTTACATTAAAATTTCCAGGTAATATAAATTTTCCGATTATTGAAAGTCGAGCTGAAAATTGTTTAATTAAACGGAATTCTCCGATATTTTAAATCAAGTGTTTTACATATGTACGAAATAAGCCTAGGAAAATCCTATCATTCTTAAACATAAACATATCTGCTTCATGTAATAGAAATGAAATAATTGCTACATCAGCATTAAATATGATTTATAAAAGCTAGTATAATTACACCATTTTGTATGAAAAATGATGTAATGATTACAATATAGATCATCGTGTACAAATTATAAATCCATTTGGATCATGACAATAAAATCAAAACATTTTATTCCTTCATCCAAAAACATAATGGTGGGTGCAAACATTCTTCAAGAGTGCATAGACCAAGGTGGTCAAATCATGAGCATCCAACCGAGTTCTTACACGGTTCGTGTTAGGATGCCAGATGGTGCCGAGAAAGACATTCCGAATGTAAATTTTCCAATTGACTCGAAATACGTAACTCAAGGATCTTCCGTGGGATCTTCTGTGGAAGAAACAACTTCGGAGATTAGTGAAGAAGAATTACCCGAAGTTGTCGAATTGAAAAAGAGCAAATTTTTGAGAGCTATGCAAAATGGCGGAGTTATCACTGAATATCACAAGAATAAGCGAGGAAATTACACGTATTAGAAATAAAATGCATTATCTTTCTAATTTGATTTAGGGATTTTTCAACTACTAAAAGTTTGATTCTTAGAATCCGCGTGAGGTTACCCTCGAATCAAATTGAAACCTACTCCAACATCTCCCAAGAATACTTCGATCAATTCAAAACTGACGAATCAATAGAAAAACCCCCACCGTCTACACGTGAACGTCATCGTAATGATTCATTTGAAGAAGTTATGAAAAAAGGTGGTCGTATCGAAGATTGTATTAAATTTCAATCTAATTCCGTTTTTGTCTTGATGCCTGAGGGTAATATAGAACAATTCGGAAACAGTTAAGCATTATTATTATTTAGAGATGTTTTGAGCTTTCAATTTTCTAATTTATAACGTAATTAATTACTATTGTTATATAAATTTAGTCTCTCAAGAATTACTTGACAAATACAAAGAGCGTGTTAAGTTGCGGCCTGAACTTGCTAGAGATAAAAGCGCTGACCATACACATCGCAAGGTTTGCATTGAAAATAACGAACTGCATTACGGTTATCGTCATTTGATTAATGAAGTTTAAAATATATTACAGGGAGATAGATTCTTGACTTGTATGAGTCAACCTCAGGCGACTATCATTGATATTCGTCCTCATCCCTTCTATTCTGTTCATATCAGAACTCTCGATAATACGATTAGGTACTTTACTCATATAAGCGAATACTTGTTAAAGCAATACTATGATCCTGATCAACACTGATTGAATAACGATAATCAAGTTTACAATAAAATAAGGATTAGGCGAATTATGACCTAGACATATCAATATTAAAGATAATTTGCTTTTTTCAAGTCAGATGAACGATGCATTTTTTTTCTTAGTAATTTGAAATCAGTTTCCTTTTTTGCTGATCATGAGACCTTATTGTTTATTATGATGATATATTTTTTTTGATATCAAGAATTATTCCTAAAAAAGTTGTGACAATTGTTATGTTAGTGAAACCTTATTAATGTCATTTAATCACTATATAAGTTTTATCATGATCAGCACAAACATATTCTGTTTGCAACTACGTATAATTGCCGTTGATAAAGAAAAAAAAAATAATAAAATAATTTTAATAAATGAAATAATTGAAAAATGAGTCATTCCAACATTGAAGAGACTGAACCTTTACTTACAGATGCACGAACTCCTAATGACCCCGACGATGAAGAGACCCTCCGTGGTAGCAGTAGCAACTTTGGTGGTACCTCATCAGAACCACCACAGCCGCGTACTCCACGCACTCGTGAAGCTCCACGCGATCACACCAACTTCCTTCCATTACGACACGGAAAATTCACACGATTGGAAACTATGCTAGCTTTCACATGCCTTCTTCTTTTAATTTTAATGAGCATTTTTGCTGGTTTATATGCAAGTGGGAAGTCTAATAAACACACAACAACTCCAGGACCACCACAACCATCCCCACCTCCACCTCCATTACCACCAAAGGATAATCATACTGTAAAGGTATTCAGGCATCATATTAATATGCGCATAATACTTGACCATAAATCTTGGGTCTGTGATCCGAAATTTATTTTTGGTTAATTGGATAAAAAAAATTAAAATTTATACAATTAATCTCATGAATTGAATAGTTAAATATGTATAATGTCGATATTAATGTTATTCATACGTTTAAAATTAACTTATGCATAGCGTAAGATCTATAAATTAGCAGCATTTAGGCTAGTAGTCATTTATTGGACTTATATAATTCATGGAAAATTATGATTCAGATGGTCCAATAAAGTTTTTGTCATTTAGATGCTAGAAATTCTTATACTTAGAACGGTTACAATGATTGCTAAATTAAACGTATGAAATAAATCGCAAATATCTATTCTACTATTATTCAAGATTAAATTAATGCATTTAATTATCCAAGAAAAAAAAAAAAAGGTTTCGGGTCACAGTACCGGAATTTATAGCTAGATACTGTGTATTTTTTCTGACATGTTTAATCGTTTGAAATCTAATTTTAGGGTCCTTGCACAACACGAGAGTGTGTTATAATTGCTGGTAAAATAATTGAAGACATGGATCAAAATGTCGATCCATGCGAAGATTTTTTCCTATATAGTTGTAAGTTTCTTTCAATTATTTGAGCTATTATTATTTGCATAAGCCTCATCTGCAGCTTATAGGTGGAGGATGGATTAAAAAATCTGTAATTCCTGAGGATAAAGGAAATTATGGCTACTTCGATATACTTTATGAAGAAAATCAGGTAATATTTAACGCATCGTTTGTACTATTTATAAATTTTTAGGTAAAACTTTTATATATTTATATAATGATTTAATCAAGTTATTTTTCCCATGTAGAAACTTCTTAGAAATATTTTAGAAGATGATTTTCAATCACTTCAAGTGACAAGATTACCATCTCCATCTTCATCGATTGATAAAAAAAACTTTTATAATCTTCAGTCATTCTATCAATCTTGTATGGACGAGGATCGTATCTCTCAACTTGGAGGTGCTCCTTTAGTACCACTATTAGAACGACTATTCGAGAATTTTCCTGTTGAAGATAAATTCTCTTTGTTTAATAATTTTGGTCATCAAAATGATTCTTTTCAACAAGCCGTTTCTCTCGATCTACTCAACTTGACGAACGCCTTGTCTAACTTATCAACTATTGGTGTGCAACCATTATTTGCATTCTTTGTCGATGCTGATGCAAAAAATCCGAGTGAAAATGCTTTATATTTAACTCAAAGTGGCCTTGTTCTACCTTCTAAAGAATACTATGAAGATGAACATGTTATGAAAACATATAAGAGTGTAATGGCTGAATTACTAGGAAGAGCATTAGATAATAGGAGTAATTTTATAATTGAAATGGGATATTCGAAATCCGATAATGTAATTGATGATATTTATGAATATAGCATAGAAAGAGTTTGGTTTAAAGGTTGGGAAGAGATTGTTGATAAAATTATAGAATTTGAAAAGGCCCTAGCTAAAATCTCCCTATCACCGTAAGCTCCAATAATGATCATTATATATTTATAGTCCCTTGAAATATATATTTTTTCTGTTTTGCTAATTTTAGTTTAAAAATATTTCTATTAAATCCTAGTGAAGAATTTTATGATCCTGAAGCCACTTATAATAAACATACTATTAGATCTCTCGAAGAACTTAGCCCAACCTTTTATTGGTCTTACTATATTAGTTCCCTTTTACCCCCTACCGTTTCAGATCCTCCATCAAAACTAATATTGACATCAAATCAATATTTTGAAAATCTTTCAATTCTTGTAGAAAAGACCCCTCCACAAATTTTGCAAGCTTACTTGGCTTGGCAGATCATTGCAGAGCATGCTAATAGTTTGGATGAAAAGTTTCAAGCCCCTTTACGAAGGTTGAAGGCGAAGTTAAGAGGCGTTGATGAAAACGTAAAGCCAAAAAGGTGGGAGGTTTGTCTTAGGTCAGTCGATGAAGCATTAGGTTTTATGGCTGGAAGATATTATGTTTTGAAGGCTTTTGGTGGTATGTTTTTCGTTTCTTTCTGCTTTTAAATTGATTATTAATTTTATTTATTAATTTTTTAGGTCACAGTATAGATATAGCAAATCAAATGATAACCTCTATCAAAGAAGCGTTCGTTAGTCGTTTGCCAGCTCTAAATTGGCTTGATAAAGAAACTCGTGAACTAGCTGTTGAAAAAGTGAATAATAGCAGTTTGAATAACTAAAATATATTCATAGATAACTTATTTGAGTTATATGTACATTTGTTATAGGTTAATGCTATTATTCAAAAAGTCGGTTATCCTACAAAATCTCCTAACACATCAGATCCACTATCTCTTCAAGATTATTATAGAGATGTAAAGTTTGATCAAGATGATTATTTTGGTAATTTGTTGAGTTCTTATTTATGGGCATCTGACAAAACATGGAAGAATGTGGATAAACCGGTAGATCGTGACAGTTGGTATATGACTCCTCAGACTGTTAATGCTTACTATGTACGGTTATAGTATATAAGTGACAGTTCATTGTTTCTGTGCTATGAATAGTATTAATATTTTATCGGTTTGTTCTTAGAATCCTACAGCAAATGAAATTGCATTTCCAGCTGGTATTTATAATATATATATATGTATATTTCTTTTCCTTTATTTCTATTATTATAAATCAATGTTATTTATTTATTTATTTTATAAATCAAGGAATACTTCAATTTCCATACTTCAGTTCCAAAGCGCCAGAATATATAAATTATGGCGCTATCGGTACGGTGATCGGACATGAACTTACGGTTCGTGCCAATTCGATAAAATAATCGTATTATGAAATATTAATATTAATATTTCTTTTATTTTGACAGCATGGATTTGATAATTATGGGAGACAATATGATGCGGCTGGCCGGTTAATTCAGGTATGTGCATCTTATTTGCTAACCATAGCTATTTCATTGAATTAATTATTTTTTTGATCGTGTTATAGTGGTGGTCCAACGATACCATTGAAAATTTTAAAGGAAAAGCAAAATGTTTTGTTGAACAATACTCAAACTATACTATAAACGGCACAAAAGGTGAACCAGTGCATCTGAACGGTCGCCTGACCTTAGGTGAAAATTTGGCAGATAATGGAGGGTAAGTATATAATATTGGGCTGTAGGTGAAAAATAACAGTAAATTTTTTTCATCAGAGTTAATGTCACTCCATGTGCTGCTACGCAGCACATGAGTGAAGTTTCTGTTATGTATCGTATATGCCCAATGTTGATGTTATCCGGCGGTTTATATGACTATGTGGAGTTTTTTCCGTAATACTTTGCACAAATGAATACGTAATCTCATGCCAAAAATATCATGACAAAAAAATTCACATTATCATATAAAAAAGTGATAATTATATTTAATGTTGTATACATTAATATCCTAATAACCAATTGATTTTGAAATATCAAGGATAAGGGAATCCTATCATGCATGGTATACCCGATACAAGAATGATTTAAATGGAGAATATAATAATTATTTGTTACCTGGGTTTGGTAATTTGACTCGTGAACAATTATTCTTTATTGCATTTGGACATTCTTGGTGTTCAAAGACAAGACCTGAAACGGCCGTTGAAAGGGTAAGCAAAATAAATTATTTTTGATTGTTTTACTGCCTTTCATTAAACTTATTTAATGTAATTTATCCATCTGAATAAATTATTAGGTTCGTACTGATCCACATTCACCTCCAGCATGGAGAGTCAATGGTGTTTTACGTAATTCGGGTAATTTTTCTGAAGCCTTTAAATGCAAGTTAGGATCAAAAATGAATCCAGTAAACAAATGTGCCCTATGGTAAACAAAAGAACGAACATTTGATTAGTACTTATATATATATGTAATATATATATATATAAGAAGATATGCTTTGAGCTTTCAGTTTAATTTTTCATACTACTGTATCATTCTTCTCTTATGTGATTTTAAAAAATTAAAAAAATAATATACACGTTTTTTTTTGTCAAATAAAAAAGGTAAACTTACAGAAACAATAAAAAGTAATACAACCAAAAAAGTTTTGGTTAGAACGTATTATTTCACACAATTCTGAACGTGTCCTTTTTTTTATTTTATTCGTAATAATAGCATAGTTGTTACATCTAAACTTAGTATTAATAGACCAAATTTTTGGCTCTACCAAAATCCCGACATCCAAAATCTCGAAACCATATTCTTGCATGACAATAATATTTAACATATTAACAATTATTGTCAAATCTAATTTTTAATAATTGTCACTAGAGATTGCCGGTTTTAACAATACAGTATAAGCAGATGTGATTATAGAGGAGGTAGCTTTAGAGGTCTAACTGTTTATAATTTGGTTCAAAATTATTAGTTCTAATCAAAATCATTCTAATTTTTATTATTATTTTTTTTAAATATTAAAGGTGAGGTCTCTAATAATTTTATTAAAAAGAAGTCTATAATTTGTAATAAATAATTATTGGTCATCTTATTAAGCGTGATACACCAACCTGATACATTTGTACTTACACAAAATTTTACATATTAACTTGCAATTAAATAAATATATTTAATATTTGAATATTTATAAAATATATTTATAAAAAAAAATTAAATTAATTTTTGATTACATATTGTTTAAAAAAATCTCAAAGTTGATTAATTTTTTTTAAAAAAAATTAAAAAATTAAAAGTTTTTGATATATTTATAAATTAATTATTTTTTTATGTTACTATGCAAGTATCTTGGTATAATCTTGTTGTATAAACTTGTAAAATTTCAACTATAATCATTATGTAAAAAAAAAAATTAGTTTACTATATAAAAAATTAGTAACTTTATATAGTAAAATTAATAATATTTCCTTATTGTTAATATTTTTTTAAAAAAAATTTTTTTTTTTTTAAAATATTAACAATAAGGTCATGTTTTTAACTTTATTGAAATTCAATTGAAGTTTTTACAAAGAAAAGCTTGCTTTTAAATAACATATGAAGAATAAAGACT